GCCATGCCTCTACAATGGTTGACTGAGAAACCAATATGGACTAAACAGTGGCCTTTAGCTGAGGAAAAGTTACAGGCTTTAGAACAGCTGGTACAAGAGCAATTAGATGCTGGACATATAGAAGAATCTACCAGCCCTTGGAACTCTCCTGTGTTTGTTGTTAAGAAAAAATCTGGTAAATGGAGAATGGTGACAGATCTTAGAGCTATCAACAAGGTTATTCAACCTATGGGCCCTCTGCAATCTGGAATTCCTCTGCCCTCCCTGTTACCAAAGGGATGGCCTCTTATAGTTATTGATCTGAAAGATTGTTTCTTCACTATACCATTACAAGAAAAAGATAGAGAAAAGTTTGCCTTCACAGTGCCTACCTATAATAACTCTCAGCCTGCAAGGAGGTACCAGTGGACCGTCCTCCCACAGGGAATGTTGAACTCTCCCACCCTGTGCCAATATTTTGTAAGCCAACCATTGAAAATTATACGCAAACAATTTCCTAAGTCCATAATATACCACTATATGGATGATATCCTGATATCTGATCAAAACAAAGATACCTTAGAAAGGCTGTTTGAAGAAGTAAAACTAGTATTACCTAAATGGGGATTGCAAATTGCTCCTGAAAAAATTCAGAGAGGAGATTCTGTTAATTATTTAGGTTATAAAATAGGCTTACAAAGAATTAAGACTCAAAAGGCACAAATCAGGAGAGACCGGTTACGAACGCTTAACGACTTTCAAAGATTATTAGGAGACATTTCCAGTCTACGACCAGCTGTTGGGATAACACCTGATCTAATAATTCATTTAAACAAAACCTTAGATGGTGACAAAGATTTGAATAGTCCCAGAGAGTTAACAGCTGAAGCAGAAAAGGAACTGATGGTGGTTGAGGAAAAATTACAGGAGGCACATGTAGATAGGGTGGATCCAAATTTTAGTTGCGTTCTAGTTATATTGCCTTCCAGAATTTCTCCTACAGGAATTTTAATGCAGAGGGAAGATACTATTTTAGAATGGATTTTTTTACCACACAAACGAAGTAAAAAATTAAAAACTTATGTGGAAAAAGTCTCTGAATTGATTATAAAAGGAAAATTGAGACTTCGTCAATTAGCAGGTATAGACCCATCAGAAATTATAGTGCCTTTCACTGCTGATGAGATAAAAAAGTTGTGGGAAGACAATGAACCATGGCAAAGAGCTTGTGCTAATTTTTTGGGAGAAATCAATAACAATTACCCAAAAAGCAAGAGACTTAACTTTATAAAGAGAACTTCTTGGATCCTCCCTCGAATTGTCCGTGATGCTCCAATAACCGGAGCCCATACATTTTATACCGATGCTAATAAATCAGGGAAAGCAGGTTACAAATCAGAAGAATTGAGTAAAGTGGAACAAAGTCCTTATGATTCTGTCCAGAAAGCAGAATTATATGCCATCCTTATGGTGCTTAGGGATTTTAAAGAACCTCTTAATATAATTACTGACTCACAATATGCAGAAAGAGTTATTTTGCATATTGAAACTGCTGAATTTATACCTGATGATACAGAACTGACCTCATTGTTTATCCAGGTACAAGACATGATCAGAAACAGGCTCTGCCCTATGTATATAACGCATATCCGATCCCATACAGGTCTGCCAGGTCCTCTAGCACAAGGTAATGCAGATATTGATCAATTATTGATTGGTAGTGTGCTGGAGGCATCTGAATTTCATAAAAAACATCATGTCAATAGCAAAGGCTTGAAAAAAGAGTTTTCTATTACATGGCAACAAGCTAAGGAGATTGTAAAGAAATGCCCTACTTGCTCTTTTTATAACCAAACACCATTGCCTGCAGGGACTAATCCAAAGGGTATTAAAAGGAATGAAATTTGGCAGATGGATGTGTTTCACTTTCCAGAATTTGGCAAGTTAAAATATGTACATCACACCATTGACACTTATTCAGGCTTTCAGTGGGCAACCGCTTTAAGCTCAGAAAAAGCTGACTCAGTAATCACACATTTATTAGAAGTTATGGCCATTATGGGTATACCTGCACAAATAAAAACAGATAATGGTCCAGCTTATGTATCTAGGAAAATGAAATGATTTTTTGCTTATTATAATATTAAGCATGTTACAGGTATACCATACAATCCTACAGGTCAAGCCGTTATAGAAAGATCAAATCGTACTATAAAGGATATGCTAAACAAACAGAAAGGGACGAAAGATACCCCCAGAAATAGATTGCATAATGCTTTATTAACCTTGAATTTTCTTAATGCTAATGAGAAAGGAACAACAGCAGCAGAGAGGCATTGGATAATGGAAAAAACTTCTGAACTAAACCAACCTGTTTATTTCAAAGACGTGCTGACCTCTCAATGGAGGCCAGGAGATGTGCTGCGTTGGGGAAGGGGTTTTGCTCTTGTTTCCACAGGAGAAGAAAAATTGTGGATACCATCAAAATTAATAAAGGTTCGATTTGAAGAGGAGAAACCTCTTGGAAAGGAGAAATGACAGCTCATCCACAATGATGATATTCATAGTTGGTAAGAAAAACATATAGAATGGGGACAGGGTTCTGTTCTTATCTCCACAGGAAAACACTGATTTTTGAAAAGTTCAAGGGACCCTGGATATCTGAATACTGACAGATGGAAAATAATGGCACAATAAGGACTATCAAGAAAACTGAATAGGTTCTGTAAGTAAAATATACTAAATCATATATCTAAATTTATAGAGCTGGTTTTAGAGTTGGACTCTGGCTCAGTCCCTCTCTAATTCCAAGCCTGTTGTTAAAAGAAAAACCCAGAATTTCTGGAGTTTCTGTCTCATGTCAAGAGCCATGATATGGGACAGAAAGAAATATGAGTTTAGAAAACATTTTTACTTTTCTTCATATCTATCATACCTTTCAGTGAATATATCTATCATGTCTTTCATTGAATATATGTATGTCTGTATTTGTCTATATGATTAATATACGATTATATATTATTATAATCATATAATATATGATATTAATATATGATTAATATATATGATTAATGTTTAATTTTTCCACAATGAACAATAAGTTTTTCCTGCAGTGACATTTGAAGTTTCCAGGAAGAAGATGGGGCCCCATAACAACAACTCCACCTGGTTGATATGACATCATGATACTGATAGTGCTACTACAAGACCTGTTTTGAGTACCAGCTGCACAAGACGATGCCAACGTGGTTAGCTGAAATGATGCACATCTTGTACAACATTCTGGCCAGACCTCCACAAAATACTCAGAGACTATTTGCAATTTTAAAAGACATTGATCTTGAAATTTAACCATCATTTTACTTTCACAGGATCCCCCAGAAAGAACGTCGCCCCCATGACAGCTGGAAGTAATTCTAGAGAACGACGTCCCCTCTCCCAGTAAAGTTTGTCCTTGGGTTTAGGGACATCATTTAGGGGTTGGTTATAATTAGTATAGGGTTGAGGGTTGGGGGAGGAATTTTATAAGCGCAGGAATCAAAAAAAAAAAAGAGGGATAATTGGATTATGGGATAATAGCTTTGTACTTGTGAGTTATTGTTTTTGACAAATATATTGGTATTGATTCTTATATATTGATACAAAGTTAAATTATGTTGACTATTTTATGCATACATGCTTCTACCTCTGTTTAAAACATTTTTATGTATTGACATATATATATTGTATTGATATATGTATATTTTACCATATTGCATTGTACACTTCTACCTCTGATTAAGATACTTATATATTGTTTATGTATTGATATATATATTTACCATATTGCAATGTATACTTGCACATTGTTTATATTTGGAGGTCATATTGTCCCCATTTATTGCACAGTTGTTTACTATTTCAGTCTTTAAGTTAGATAGATATTGAGAATAATATAGATCAATAGTCATCTAAGTTTGTCATTTATAATTAGACTAATCAGGTTCTTTAGATACATAGAGATTATATTCAGTATAGATAGATAATCTTCAACCTCTTCAAAGAGCTGTAAAAAATGGCCTTTAATCTAACTCAGAGTTCTGTGGTAGGGAGACACAATCCTTCCTGGCAACATTGATCTATTCCCGAGAGAATGTTGAGCACCAAAGACACTCCACCTGGAGCCTTTCTTCTTGGTAGAACTGGCCTTTGGGTAAAGAAATGCCCATACCTCAACTACTGACAGAGTTGCAGAGTATCCGTAAATGGATAAAACAGGACTGTCATATCCTGCCAAGACAGGATAAGATAGTTTTGAAAAGTACCTTGCCTTTGAAAATGGTATGTCAGTTACGTTAGGCCTTAGCCAAAGTTGGTTGCTTCAACGCTGCAAACGTGATTTTGGGTGTTTGCCCAGGTAGCCAGTTGTCTCTGTGATTTGTTACATGTTCTGGAAGTTTGATTGCACTTCCTAATTACTTAGGTAACATTATTTCCCTTCTCAGATCTTTGATGGGATTGAAGATTATATAAACGTAGTTACTTTCCTTTTATGACGTGGCCAAGTTATTTCTTATACAAGACTTAAGCTAGTTAGAATAGGATATTTGTATTTATTGTATATAATTGTGTAGGTTTGTACTTACTGTATATAATTTCGTAGTAGGCTTAGAACTCTCTTACTTAAACAAAAGGGGGAGGTGTTGTGGGAGTAACTTCCGCTGCCTCAACCAATAATCACTGAAGCAGGAGCCCACAGTGCAGCGGGGAGCGACTTCCGCTCCGTCAGCCAATAGCTGCTGAAATACCAGCCCACTGGGGCGTAGTATATTTCTCTCTTAAAAAGAGAAGCAGTTCCGGATAAGGCCCTCTTGGTTCCGGCTCTTGGTTCCGGTGCTCGGTCTCAGCTGCTGCTCCCGGCTCCTGCTCCAGCGACTAGGCTCCCTTCCTGACGGTTTATGGTGTATGTAAGTTTTACCCCCCGCCAAATAAATAACCCCTTAAAACATAACTGGTGTGGGATTGATTCGTTAATATGTGTGTGTGTGTGTGTGTGTGTGTGTGTGTGTGTGTGTGTGTGTGTGAAGGTCTCTCTCTGAACAGGGAGCTAACCAGTTCACAAGGCTAGCTGAGCTGACTGGTGAGTCCCAGGGAGTCTCTTGGCTCTTTCTCCCTAACTCAAATTTCTGGCACCTCCTTGCCACCTTATCTAGCTTTTTCCTTGGGGCTCAGAGCTCAGACCCTCATGCTGTGGCAAGCATTTCTCTGCGTTTCCAGCTCCCAGATTTTGTTCTTATTGTCTCTACCCAAGGATGTCACTCTCCCTGCCCCCTCTCACACTGATATTTGTGCTTTCATCATGATCTAAATACAGTTTTAAACACAGCTCTGGCCTACTTCCCTTCTGTATTGGCACGGGATCTACAGGACATCACCGGGTCTGTGTTGTATGTCACAGGATCTACAGGACATCACCAGGTCTGTGCTGTATGTCACAGGATCTACAGGACATCACCAGGTATCTTCCCCCTTTTCAACACGTGCAGACCATGACTGTGTGGTTGCCACCATCTTCTTCTGATCTAGTCCTGTTCCTGGCACACAGATGTATGCAGTTATTCAGAGACTGAAATGTAGCTCAGCTGGTAAAATGGTTTCCTAGCGTTGCACAAAGCTCTGGTTTCTCCCCCAGCACTGCATACACTAGACCTGCTGGCACACAACTGTGGTCCCAGCCCTAGCGAACTGAGGGCAAGGGCATCAACAGTTAAAGGTCATCTTCCGCTACATAGTGAGGTTTAGCCCATCCTGCATTACATGAGACAGTATGTCTCAAAAAAGAAATCATTGAGAGCCTGCAGGGAAATCTACAGAGGCCAGATATGTGGATTAACCCAAAACCCCAACTCTTTTGAGAATTTGTGTTGTAGCTTTTCGTGTTTTATACAATGATTTATAAACATTTACATTCCCTTGCTGACCACACCTCTGAGAATGTTCTAGAAAATTTCTGTTTCAGGAGAGCTTCCATCCGATTCAGACTCCGACTGCCATCCTTCCCCATCAACGATCTCACAGCTGTGGGATCTAGGACCTGTGAATTCAGTACCTTTGTGTTTGGCCTGGGTTGAAGGTCAGCCCAGCCCTTAAATGTCAACCTGGCCAGCCCTGGGGAATGCTGTCTGGCCTTTCTTTGTCCCTCTTGTTCTCTGTCACTGGAATTTATTTTGTTCTCACATCTCAATGCTTCCTTTCTCCTCAGATCCTCCCAGTATCGACCCAAGTCACCTTTCTTTGATTGCGGCTCCTGGGTGTGTCATTCTCTGCCCCACCAGCTTGCCACGCAGGTCAGAACATTGATCTTCAGTGACTTCCAATAACCCTGGCCTTCCCATGGGAAGGACAGTGGCAGCTTACTCTATTCTGCCCATTGAGTTCCTGACAGGAGAACCAAGGCCTGTCCATTTTTCTTGCATGACAGTCCTTCCTCTATGACTTGCCTTTGGCATGGGCCAATCTTCCACTCAGTGGAGTGGCTCGGAACTGCCAAACACTGGGTGTGGGAAGGAGGGCCTGCTTGTTCATCCCGGCCGCCCAGCTAGCTTATCCCCGAAATAACCACACAGAAACTGTATTAATTAAATCACTGCTTGGCCCACTAGCTCTAATTTCTTATTGGCTAACTCTTACATATTAATTTAACCCATTTCTTTTAATCTGTGTATCACCATGAAGTCGTGACCTACCAGCAAAGTTCCAGGACGTCCATCTCCAGCCGTAGATCCATGGTGTCTCTCTAACTCTGCCTTTCTTCCTCCCAGCATTCAGTTCTGTCTTCCCCACCTACCTAAGCTCTGCCCTACCAACAGGCCAAGGAAGTTTCTTTATTCATTAACCAAGAAAAACAACACACAGACAGAGGACCTCCCACACTAACTGGGGTCAAACCAAGTCCTCTGTAGAAGTGATATCTGCTGGAGGAGACACGCCCGGGTCCGCACTGATGTTTAGTGGTGGCAGAAAGAAACTGAGGAGGTGTGGTACCTTCTTGTCCCTTCAGCCCATCACCACAGAAGACCCAAAGACCAAGCAGTGAGTCCCAGAGCTGACCGCTTGCTTCGGTTCCAACTTCTCCAGGTGGAAGCCAACGCCTCGCCTCAGGACCGCCCTGTGTTTGTGAGCCCGAGTTTGATGTTTACTAAACACTCTCCGGTCGTGATAGGAACCACCCCATCTTCATCTTTCACACTAAGCCAAACCTCATCCCGATGCTTCTGGAAGGATCTATGCAAATCTGGGCAGAACTGGTTAACTTTTAGGGGGAAAAATCTATTTACACTTGGGGAATGGGAAGAAGCCAGGAATGAAGTGCTTTGGGTTTCAGAACTACACATATGGGCTTCTTTTTATTTATTAACAGCTTTTATGTATTTTCAATATTATCCCTGAAAACAGCTGCTTCTCTGAGTTCCCTTTCACACCTGCCTGTCACTTCGTATTTCCATGTGTTAATTTACAGATCTGAGCTACACACGATAAGAGCAGAGCCCAAGGTGATTTTCCTGGATTTGGAATTTTGCTTCCAAGTGCAAGGATTGCTTAGAGACCCGGCACATGCAGCCAGGCTTCCGCTGCCGGCTTCCTCTTCACCCCTAAGTACTATTTTTGACATGTTAATACTGACACTGTGTTTGCCAAACTGATAGTAGTTATATTTATGTGCTTTTTCCTCCCCTAAATCGCAAAACTCTGAAGGGAACCCTTCCTAACATCCATTAGTTTATACTTTGTAGGATGCAAATAAGCAATGCTTAGTTCAATGGGAAAAGCATCATTATCCTTATTGCCCAAAACTCTTTAGGAACTGTGAAATGTTTTTATTGGGCTAGGGGTGCAATCAGCTGGCAGAGCGCTCACCTAGCATGCTGGAAGCCCAAGGCTCACTCCCTAGCATGTTCTAAACCACACCTGTATTCTCAGCGCTTAGGAGGTGGAGGCAGCAGGCTCTGATGGGCAAGGTTATTCTCCGGTATATTGAGTTTGACACCAGTCTGGGCCTTGACAAATTAAACAAGTAAATGAATAAAGTTTCCCATCATCCTGGCACTGGAGACGAAGCCACAGACTCTGATGCAGAAGGAAAGGGGGGGCAGGAAAGAAAGCCCGGAGCGTTCTCTGCAGGTCTCCGCAGACAAGCGGCCCTCTAGGTTGTCGGATGCCGAGAGAACGAACTCATTCCCCACCGGCAGTACTTGAATCAGGCAGTTTCTTGAGCAGCAAGTAGACAAGTGGTCTGGGGCTCATCACACCAGAAGCCATTACTGTTCCTGTTTCAGAGTGAAGATACAGGGGTTACTAGACTACAGCCTTGCTGTAGGGAAGAGTAGAGCCCAGCCCAGCTGGCACGGCTTCCTTCCTGCTGGCCCACGTGAGACCTTTCGGTGTTTGTTCAGGGACTGACATGGTTAGGTGTGGATCTATTGGAAATGATGGGAGTGGTCTGAGCAAATCTTTATTGAGCAGGCTCATCCACTCACTCTTGTCATGGGAAACTGTTTTGTTTTCTTTTCTTTAGATTTATTTATTTATGTATTTTATGTACGTGAGTGTTTTGTCTGCATGTACATCAGCACGCCAGATGAGAGTATTGGATCCCACGGGACTACGGTAATAGACACTGTGAGCCACTTTGTGGGTACTGGGGTTTGATCTCAGGACCTCTGGAAGAGCAGCAGGTGCTCTTAACTGCTGAGACATCTCTCCAGCCCTGGGAAGCGATTTCTTAAGACTCTGGTGAACACAGAGACGAATAAGCAGGAGTGTCCATACCTGTCCATCAGTCGGCCTCGAAGAATGTAAGAGCAAGGTATGGTACCCTAGCCCACTTTCTGCTGCTATACCAGAGTGCCAGAGACTGGGTATTTACAAAGAGTAAGTCGTTTGGTTCCTGGTTCCAGAGGCTGTGAAGTCACCAGGGTGGTACCAGCTCCTGAGAAAGGCCTTCTTGCTACCATAACATGGAGGAAGGGAAGCAGACTCGTGATAAAGGGAAAATGAGAACACCTCACCCTCTTACCAGGCACCCACATGATTATTAAAGACATCAACCCATTGGTGACAGCAAAGCCTCGGTGCCCAAGCATCCTTCCTAGGTCCTGCCCAGAGTGTCCCCGTGGCAATCCGATTTCAACACGAGCTTGCTAGGGTAGAAGGTACATTCACACCACGGCACCCTGTACGGACTGAGCTTAGGGTCACACATAGACAAGGTTGTCTCGCTGCTGACCCTGGGCAGCTGGTGTGGGAATGGGCCTCGTAATCAACACATCTACCAGGTGGAGTCAAAGGATGTTCCCTCTAGGAACATCCAACTGCTGTATTAATAATTTAATTCTTCACCACTGACCAACGATGGTCATGTGTGGCTCCTGAATGGAGCCCCCAGATATTCAGAAAGCCATCTGGAGCAAAACAAAACGCACAGACCAAAGAGGAAAACAATAAACCCAGAGGAAACAGAGAACATGAAAACAGAACAGCCAACTGGTGAGAAGGAATATTGTTTACATAAAACTTGAGGTGCCAAAAACAAGATAATAAAAGAGGTTCTAGAAAATTAACAATAACTTAACCTACACGAATTCAGCAAAAGAATAGGGAGATAAAATTGAAGAAAACGCACAGAAAGAATATTTAAAATCACAAAGAGAAGAGAGGGAGGTGAGGGAGGTGGCTCATCTACCCGGGAGGCGCAATACCCAGCTGACTGGGACCCCGAGAACATAAAATAACGAGCAGGAAGCAATCAAAAGACCCTAGGAGCTTTCCCAGAAGTAAAGGAGGGATCTTTCTGTTCAACGCCGTGAACTGAAATCACCCACAAGAGGTTCATCACCGCAAAACTTCATGGCGCTAGGATCCAGCTCCCAGCAGAAGTAAGGACAAGTGGGTAGAGCTCTTGATCACCGGGGAGGGTGGGTGCTAAAAACTGCAACAGGATGAGCGGTCTTCCGGCACCTGAGCCACTGAGCTGAACCTCTCCTCTGCCTGGAAACCCATCGGCAGCCCAGTGACAAAAGGCAGTGACGGAGAGCAGGGTCCAGGAGACGCTGGAGGTGCAGAGGACGGAAAGAGGCAGCATCTGCCGGTTTGACTACAAGGAGACTGGAAAACGGGTACGGCGAGCCCAGTGAGCATGGACGTGCCCCATGGTTACAGGATACGTGGTACAGGTTCTCTCTTGCAGGATCCTTCAGCCTCAGTAGAGGTCAGCTGTGGCCACAGGGCAGGTGCCGATGGATGTCCTGGAAAAGCACTGGCTTCCCTCCCATCCACCTCAGATGGGGCTTTCGTCTCCAAGCTGGAACCTGAGAAACACCCTCTAAAGAATCCAAGGAGGCCTGAGATACAGCCCAGTCAAGTAGAGTGGTTGCTTAACAGGCATCAAGGCCTGGGTTCGATTCTCAAGCAGGGCATAAAAATCAGGTGAGGAGCTGCATGCCTGCAGTCCCGGCTCTCAAAAAGTGGAACCCAAAGGGTCAGGAGTTCAAGGCCATCCTTAGATACATAGCAAGTTCTCAGCCAATCTAGGGTACAGAAGACCCTATCAAAAAAAAAGAAAAAAATATTCAAAGCAAATAACAAAAACAAAAGGAGTCAAACTATGATTTAGGGCAACTTCGGTGATGATATGAACTCAATCTACTGCCTGTTTCCACCCCAGACACGTTCTGTGATGCCGCCATTAATGCTCCAGCAGCTGCCACGCCAAACAAGAGAGCGGAGCGGAGCACAGGGGGAAGGGGTATATGGTAGGCTGTCGTTCAAGGGAAAGGCCAGGAAAAACACAAAATCAAACCAATCACCTGAAAGAATGAGGCCCAGCATCTCAGCACTGAATATAAGCGGGTTCACCCACGGTGACGTCATCTAAAGGAACACAAAGGAGAAGGAGCTAGGGCTAGAGGAAACAGTGAATCCTGCACAATAGTCTTGCTTTCAGCTGCAGGGGCTCAGTGCCCCCTCACTGTATTTACTCAGTTTTCCAATGACCACCGAAAGACCTGTGTGAGCTGAGGTGGTGCAGACATGGCAGTGAGCCAAGCAAACAAGGCCCCTTCCGTAAGGAAAGCATCCGGGAAAAGAAGCCGCAAGTGCAAAGGGTCTGGGGTCGGAACCGGCCTTGGACACAAGGGATGCTGCGGGTACCATTCCCTGCGTGCGCAGGGGCCCTGGACTGTATACGGGGTGAGAGGTGAACGGAATAGTGAGCATGCGCACATTCTCTCTCGGCTCTGACTGGATGTGAGCAGCTGTTTCAAGTCCCTGCTGCTTGATTTCCCTGCAGTGATGGGCTATCCTGTGGAAGTTGGGAGCTGAATTTACCCTTTCTTTCTTAAGGCTGCCTTTGCCAGGGTGTCTTACCACAGCAGCAGGAACGAAAGACACTGGTGGAAGAATCAACGCGTACATTCGGGTTACAGGGAGCTGGAAATGCAATCTTAAAATGTTGTGACGGGCCAAAGGAATCAGTGTCATGAGGAACTATCACGTGGAGACAACGTTCGGAATCGATGTTGAGGATCTATAAATGACAGCTGCCCGTCACAGTGTGGACGCAAGCGACAGAGCAGAAGGCAGAGACCATAAATCTACCTGAATCTACCTACAAATCTACCTGAAAACCACAAAGACATATGAATCGATAGTGTGCTCGCTCATTAAAAACTTCAAAGGACTAATGAAGACAGAAACAGAGATTGTGAAGTTTTGAAAACTAAAGACACAAAGGCAGAAATTAATAAACGGTGAGCTGGGTGAGAAATGGG